TAATTTGTTCAGATACACACTTTGGAATCAGACATATTTATGGTAAGTAACTAAATGGAATTTAGTTATTGCTCTAGTAATGTAAACTTTGCACAAATATGTACTCTAACAAAGTGTAAATAAAATTGAACAAATGTTAGCAACAAGATACTTCTGAAAAAACTGAATGATTTGGATACTCTTTTGGCAGATATTAATATCCCAACAGCTGTTATAATATTAATCATAAGAAGATACATTTTCCCCCATCTCAAACTGTCTTGTGAAGTGTAGAGCAGGTTGTTGAGGCACACAATAAAGTTAGGCAGTTCAGGAGCTGAATGAAACAGCCAGTCTCTGAACATAAACACCAGTATTCCCCAAACCAAGGGGCAACAGAGATGGTTGAGAAAGACATTACAAAGAAATGAGGTGAGAAATGGGTGACTATTCTGAAGAACAGGAAATTAATTTAAGAGAACGCATTTCTTGTATTTTTAGTTCCATAAAATAACTACTGGTCAACATTCTAAGCAGTCACCGATATTATATTTTGGTCGAAAACATGTGAAGAAAAGCAAATTCCAGTCAACCTTTTGCAAATAAATACCAATCAGAAAATGTTCCAGTTTCGGCTAAGAAAATAAGCAAGCTACTGATTGGTACAAATGTCATACCAATACAAGATTTATGTTAACAAAAGTTCATCTGTTTAACAGCTCAAAATAGCAGGAAAATTTTAATTTAAGTTAATACCTTTACAAATATGTGTTTCTTCATAATTATTCTAGTGTACTTGGCTGATCTAATCTCATGAAATAGCTAAACCAAGCCTAGACACCCACGAGAGTCAACACAAGACACAGAACAAAACACTCTCTTTTCCACCAGCAGCTGCTGTGACCCTATACTAGACAGCTATCTGACTTGCATTCCTCTTATCTAAGAACCATATAATGTGATATTTTGTTTATCTGGACTGAAGCTCCTAGTCCAGTAAACATGATAATCGTGCAGACTCATATGGCCATTAAAACTTTTGTTGCCAACATTGGACTTTCAGAGTATTAATTTGTGATCAATTATCAATGCTTAACAACAGTGAAACATCTTCTGTAAACATGTAAAAGTTCAGCATGTGTAGTCCAGCTTGTAAACTTGAAGTATCTTTAATGGTGAACTATGGTCCACAAACCAGACCCATGTCAGGCTAGGTCTGGTCATCGTGAGTGAGTTTGGTTATATATGCCACACTGTGGTGCCATGTGTGAACTCAATTATTCTCTCTATCTGACAGTAATTATTCACTGCTAGAGTGATACACATAATATAGTTTGACTTAGTAGACCAAAAGGTGGGATTGAATTTTGAAGGGACTCCCCGATCCCTTGTGTCCCAGACCTCGTCTCCCTTTAAAGACAAAGAAATGTTCTGGTCCCTGGCAGAGCCCCATCAGCACTTTGGCACTCCACTTGTTAGGCTAACATTTAGTCTCTGAAAGGCTGAAAAACATTTCTTAATTTGTTTTTATTTTGTTAATTATCTTTAGATACTCAACAGGAAGGAACCCATAGTAAAGTGAAACTGAAGAAATCTAGACTTTCCAAAGTATCATAAATAAATTGGTGGATTCCATGTCATTTAATTAGCTAACCAAAACTTACTATGTGTTTAGGCTTCCATAAATTAGGCCATTAATGTTTCCTGACTGACTGATAATAGAGTGAACTGGGTATGCGTCTGCATTAGTGCTCTGAAGGATATGTCACTGATTTCATATCATTGTCTACAGTTGTGTTACTGATCAAATAAGCAGTCTGTGAAGTATGTCAGGGTCTGTATGAGACTCCTCCACTTGTCTCAAGTTATGGATAATTTGCTATGTTTGAGTTTCCAGTGGTTCCATGAAGTTAACAAGTTTGCTCTTAACAATGTCATTGTCACTAAAACCATGTGACTAAAGTAGAATGAAGGTAAAAAAACTAAATAATTGGGGCAAGAATTTCTGCCTTTGATATGTTGCCTATATGTCATCATTAACTAACAAGTACCAAGAGAAATGAGACATTTTCTCAACCCACTCTATACCAGATACATAGTGATCAAGTCATGGTTACTTCCTGCTTGTGTGACATTTGTAAGCACCAATGTCAAGATGTCTCCCTCAAATGGCATTTGGAATCCAGTTAAAAAGTCCTCGACACAGATATCCACAAATCTGCAATAACTGCACTAGCCATGGTTTTGGGGTGGCAGTGGGGCGTATCCTCAACTCATCCTTGGAGCCTTGAGGTTTTCATGTCTAGCATTATTTTAATCTAGGAGACTTCTATAGCTCCAATTATTAAATGTGGTTAGGAATGAAGATTAGGTCCCATTAACTATAATTCTTAATTTCAAACAGTTTTTATTTCAATAATCATTAGCACTAAGAAGCAAACAAAATTCATTATATTTATAATTTCACATTCAAAACTGCTTCCATTAGTTCACAGATACATGTTTCCAATTTTCCTGAACAACCATATATGGATGATGTGTAAGTTACAACAATGGTTGTTGCCTCCTTGTTTGCCTTCACTTTACTATGCAATATGTTCTTGTTCTCAACAAATGTCTCTAAAACAACAGTACTTGTCTCTGCCAAAAGCTTGGTCCCTGTGTACTCTTGAGTTAGGTCTCCCTTCAACTTCAACACAACACAACAGTGTTTGACTGTATCTTACTGTGCGATTTAGGATATTCTACATTCATCATCATCATCATCATCATCATCATCATCAATCACAGAAATAGATGTTCATACCTATACTATACCTAGATAAAATGTTCAGAATGTCTTGCTGACTGTTAATGAATATGACTTGGAGGCTTTATCATCTCAACACCATAGTAACATTCCAACACAGCACCCATAATGGTCTCACTTGCTTCAATAATCATGTGTATACCATGACGCCAATTAGAACATTGTCTTATGTATATTAACACAGGTCACAAACTTATAAAGAAAGGATGGTGAAGATGTTGGTCCAGTTTAATGAAATATCCCCAAAGCTATAACGATCACCGTTTGCAATCTTTTCATACACAAACACACAGATAATATTTTAAATTTCATTAAGCTACACAAAAATTTGAATCAATTATATAGTAGTGTGAATTTCAGCTATCAAAATTCACCTAATTAGATGAAACAGGTGTCATTATTAATAAATACTTAAACTGATAAGTAAAAACAACAACTTTGAGACAATATAAAGGCAATAGGTGTCAGTTCACCTCATTTTTATAATTAATAATCAACTGACTGAGAGAGCATTGTGTGATAAGCTAACACTATCTTCCAATTTCTATCTATTTCTATTGATATTTACATGAAAAAGACCATTTTGACTAAAGAAATGGGCGCGGCCTTGTGAATCTGATGCACATTTGCATACTGCATCATAATTCCTGTGATATGATCTACTGGGTGCCATGCATATTTCAAAGCCCCTTTTTTCAGCTTTCAACAACAGATTACCATTTTCTGCATTTTATCACTGACAACCACTGTGAGTGATATATAAATAACTATATATGTTAATCACCTGCCCTAAGTTTTGGCCATATCAATTTGATACCTGAAAGTGAAAGCTTCTTACACACCCCATGGTTATGATCAACACCTACACACTGTGTCAGCACAATACAGCAGAGAAAATATTAAATGTTAAAACTAAGGAATGAAGTCACCAGCACCCAGACTTCCCATTCCATAAGCTCAGTGGCACGTCAGACCAGGAAAACTACAACACATAGACCCGAAACAAACACAAGGCCCTTTGTACATGCATATGCAGTCTGAGACTTAACTATCACAGCATCAGGTACTACTTTGACTGAAGGTCAGTTTAATAGGTTGATAAGTTGATAATTGTTCATATGTTCAGGTCAAAATCTACTGAAAATGATGTTTTGGTGTACCAGTAGACAAAGGGTTAATATCCTCAATGCAGACAAACTACATGTGACAAAAAGTGATGGAAGGATACATACTGAAGACTTCAGGACCAAGGCAGTTATAGGTGTCATTAAACTGAATAGCCCAGAGTGGACATGTCCACATGACAGGAAATCCTGAGTCTGCATGTTGTAAATGAATCTGACATGCCTGTGTAACTACTTACACAAATTATGTCAGATCTCTCTTGCTGCATATAATAAATACTGTTTCAGAAAATTGTTTTGTTGTTCTCCACATGTTTCATTCAATGAAATATAAGGTGATGAGTGGACACTAAAAAGCACTAAGCTCATTATTTCACAGACTGCCTTCCAAATCCATTCATTATCTATTTCGAAAAATACACACATCAAATGAACGATTCAAGTGTTTCTGCAGGTTTATTGATTTTCTTTCATTTTTATTAACAATGAAAATGAAAATAAAAATTACCCCTTTTAAAATGTTTTTTTAAAATAGACAAAACTGTAACTCTTTGACATATCTCATTCCTGTTAAACTTTAACTCATACTACAGAAACCTTCACAAGGGACACATTCACAGAATGAAATGATTTAACAGTCCGCTCATGCATCCAAAGCTCTACAGTGGCTACTCAGCAGTTGTATTTAACTCCAAAAACAATCAACATAACACGCTGCCCCCATCTCTCGCGTAATGCCTGACGCAATCCTATATTCATGATAAAACGTCATCTATCCTTCATTCCAATAAATGAAGTGATTACCCCCTCTCAGCCTGACTAAACAAATAGAGGCTGCAGAACGATTACAATCTTCACAAGGCTGGTCTGCTGCAATGATAATGCCCACCAACCATTCAATAATAATCTACACAAAACAAGGGCATGTCAGCAGGAGGTTGAAAACAGTGGCACAAAAAAGCCAAGTGTCAGTACAGTTGTTCAAGGTATCAGCAGGGCTGGCAACAATCACAGTTCAATGACATGCAATCAATACCAATCAACACCTGTGTTGATGGTTACTGTTGAGTTATTGACGATGTTTTTACCTGTAACGGGCGCTGACAACTGACATCGCCGGGGTGTGGTGCCAATGTGGTGCCAATGTCAATCATTGCCGGCCGGGGCTGTGCAGCGTCAACACCGACGGTACCCACAACAGTTGCACCTGGGTGCACCAGCGCCGACGACCGTGACGGCTGCAGGGAGTGCTGGTGGCAACTGTTCTCATGACCAGGTGTGTGTGGCTGGGTGGTGTGAGAGACGACTATACTACTGGATGCTGGGAGAGAAGGAGGAAGGAGGGTGCCGGCTCTGACACAGTGGCCACTGCCGCCGCTGCTGCTGCTGCCGGTGTTGTTTAGTGGGTGATGACTCACTCCTGCCTTCACCGATGAATCATCCCCAGCTCTAGTACCACTGATGTACACATTGCCACACTCTGGGCTACAGGGACCTTGCTCAGTGCTGGACATACCGTCACATTCACCCAGACCAGACCTGGACACTCGGACATCTGGACGATGGTCACTCTCACCCATATACACATTGCCACACTGACGGCTACAGGGACCTTGTTCAGTGCTGGACACAACGTCACATTCACCAAGGGCTGGCTTGGTCATCAGGACATCTGGACATTGGTCAATCCGACTTGGGGACAAGGGCATCACACTGATGTCTGCAACCTGGAAAAAAAGTATCAGTTTAGATAGACAGACATATGACATGAACATCAAGGTGTTGTTCTCACACTAAAAGTAGGACACCTTCATAATACCTGATTGATAATGTCAGCTAATGAGAAAGAGAGGGGAGCCAGATCATGACCGAGAGTGTGTGGCATGTCATGCAACTAAACATGGTATAACACACACAGCAGAAGCTGCACTGAAGATCAAAACAAAATAAAACACAAGCAAGATTTAAAAACAGTAAAACATACATGTCAAATGCTCAAGATTTCTTAACTACCTTGCTCAGCATAAAGTTTCCCTCATGGAGAACATTCATGAAGTACTTACACTTAATGTGATACTATATTTTTCAAGTGCATGCATATCTCCCTAGTGGCGTTATTTCTTTTGTAAACAAGCAATTTGTGTGTTATAGCTACCAAGCAGTTAACCCCTTCCCAGCAGAGGCATGGCTAAACACCTTGCAAACATTCAATCTACACAAATACACCATGAACAGTCTATGCATTGAAAACTGACTTATCTATTAAAATATTCGCTTACTTGGATTACTAAATCAGGTGCTTGATATAAGTGATCACAAAGACAATGGTCACATTCACTATAACCCGTAGATACTCCCAACAGAAAGTCACAGACCAGTAAGCATTAAATATTTTAGCATTAAATCAAGTTCCCTGTGAACTGTCACACTTAAGCAGGAGGTGCAACTTGCACATTCACACCACAAAAGGAGGAGATCATCTATCATGGCAAGTCAAATGTCATATTCACCACAGGAGGTCAATATTCACAGAATCATTATGTCAGGTACCCACCCACACCAGGCACATGGCAAGTCACATGTCACATTTACTACAGGTATACTACATTCATGACATTCACAGACATTTAGACAACACAAACCAAGCCCAGACGGTAATCCCACAATTTTATTAGGGTAGTAAAAATTTGTATGTGCTAGTCATTTAGGGTTTGAAGTCTTCCAGTCCGAAACTAGTAGTAGTACAGTTCTGGAAGGACTAGTGACATTTCCTTCTGGACTGCCACTTTCACCATTAGGTAGAGTGTAGCTCTGTAGCAGATGCTTTAGTGGACTAGTGAAGATATAAGGTAATTTCTAACCCTGTTGGTGGAGGTGTTCTAACAGTGTGTGACAGTATAAAGGGTTAACAAGGAAGTGGAAAGCAGCCCCTGAGTATGACATGTCAAGGTGATCCCTGCATGTCAAAACGATAACGAGCCATCACACACTGTAGAGGGTGTCAGACAAATCACATTTACTGCTGGTATATCAAACAAATAGACATTAAGAAAATGAATACACATGACTACATACATACAAAGGTTTTCTTTCATTTTTGCTATCATGTTGGCTTATTGATGATGTTTATATCAACTGTAATGATGCAGATGTACTAAAATCTTAGTAATGACATATGAACTGTTTCATAGAAACATGTCTTTCTACAGTGAAGACAATGTAAACCAAATATGAGATCGGGTACAACATTATATTGTATCTAAGAACTCAAACAGTCCAGATGTCCTATGCTAATGTGGTTCAAGATCTTATAAAATGTTTATGGAGAAAATATCTGCAAAGCAAGTGACAACATCTATCTTAAAGTGAACTTCCTTCAATTTGGTTAAGATAGGTTTTGACATAGAATCAATGAAACTGGAAATATAGGCACCAAGTCCTGACTGTCGCCTGCAATGTCTGGAAAACACGCAGTTCAGATAGCAGTTAAAGTTTGTCATTAACATCTCCTAAAACACAGAATTCTGACAATAATGAAAATGTATTTTTTTAAGGAAGCGCCCCACTTGCATCTATAATTAATTAAAAAGTCAATGCCATAGTATGTTATTACATGGTTTGGGGCAGACTTTGCAAATGCTCCTTTAAACAGGTTCTCTGCCTCCTATATGACCACCATTCCGCTTAACCCTACAAAGGATGATGGCAGGAGAAGCAAGTATGAGAGGTGACTGCAGTGGTAGAAACTAACAGTTTTCGTCCACTAGTCCTTATAATGATAACATATAGCAAAATCCTTAAAAAGGGCAAATTTCTACTAGTCCTTATGATACCTTAACTATGGGGCAGTTAGGCAAGGACTACAGGACTAGTGCCAGTTTCTAACGCTGGGTGAGTGAGCAAGATTCAGTCAACTCATGGTGTGTTAACATCCAAAGTGTCACATGTCCCAAGATGTTCCATGAAATGGAGAAACCGATGAGCATGGGCATGGTGCTGACAAACCAAGAATAATAATCAGAGAGAATATAGGAATAAAATGATCAGCAGATTTGAGCACAGCTAATGCCCGACAACTGGTAGTCTAGATCACGTACTTTGTGTACGTACCCATCTTACAAGTGTTAATTGGCTATGAATACACAATGCCATTTAGAAAGTAGCCTAATGTAACAAATCTGGTAAAGTACAGATTCTAGGACTTTTTGGGGTTGAGTCCAATCTGGGATTCGAACCAACACTCCAAGAGTAAGATGCGTAACCAGGGTTATCATTTGGAAATCATTTTCAGTCCTGAAGTATTTCTTTTTAACCTCCTGAGGAAATTGACTACTTTTGACAAGATATGAAAGAAAAAATAACTTCTGAAAACTTGATTGGAAATATAGGCTAGAACTGATAGACAGTTTATGATCATGCTCAGCCCATTGAACAATTACAAATGAGCTAGCAAGTTAATATCAAATCAATTTCCACAACCCGTCTTCACACAACAATAACCAGGATTTTATTGTTCTCAAGATGGCGAAGGATAGTGGGGTAGTTAAGGTATCAGTAGCTATTCCTTGTCACAAGAAGCAACTAACAGGAGGATGAAAGATACAAATGGCTGCTGACAAGGAATAATACTTGGAGGAAAGATAACGCAGCCTTCAGTTGCTAGCATCTATCACAGATGAAACCAAAGAGAATCTGTATAATGCTGACAATGAAACTACCGTATATCACTGTGTACAAGGCAGTTTTTTTTTACCTAGATTTAGGGGCTTTCAAGGGAGGTCGCCCTATACACAGGGTTGAAGAGTTTTGATGTTTGTTCTCCCTCAACACAAAGTCATTACCATGAGCTTTGTAACACCGGAAATACCATGTCAACAAATCTGTACTGAAGTACGCAAATTAATCATATGATTACACTGTTTGGTTATAAAAGTGTTTATTGGATATCTGGACTGATGTTTGCAATCTATTTTATTAATTTTATTCACAATTTCATGCAATATTGTTTACATTCATTTCGGCAAAAATGTGTGTGAAGTGATCAGAAGATCGCACAACTCACCATTATTTTCAGCTACCACGGTCAGATTACCACTATTGACGTCTGGAAACAAACTTTAGTGGACAGTGAGTGAGTGAGTGAGTGAGTATGGTTTTACGCCGCTTTTAGCAATATTCCAGCAATATCACGGCGGGGGACACCAGAAATGAGCTTCACACATTGTACCCATGTCGGGAATCGAACCCGGGTCTTCGGCGTGACGAGCGAACACTTTAACCACTAGGCTACCCGACCGCCCCCTTTAGTGGACAGAGAATGGATATGGATACAAAATATCATACTTTGACTCGTTAAAAAGTCATATTTGTTATAGTTTGAAGATAAGATGTCAAAATATTTGTTTTCGCGAGCAAGGAAGCATAGCTGGTGATTGATCAAATTATCCATACGAAAAAATATCCGGCAATAGCAATCAGCTGTACCACTGTGCTACGCTTATGGTCATTCATTTATTTCAAATATATAAAGTAAAATATCACTAAAAAAACATGATATTGGAATATATATATGAAAAAATAATAGTTTCAGATACAATTCTTCAGATCATTGAATCTTTAAAGTTATATTTTCGGGTAATTTTTAACCAAATCACAGGTATATTCACGGGAAATGTGTTGATGGCTGCTTCCAGCTTAGTTTACAAGACAATACACACTGTAATCTTAATCTCTGCATATGAAACAATGCCTAGTAAATAGGAAATACAATTTGATTGGTAAATCATTGTGTCTAATTGTTATCATATGTTTCTTTACCTGAATTCACTGAAGGGATACGATGTCATTATTTTCTGTGGATGACACACACGTTTATATTGCAAATGTACTGATCGTGTATACGCTGGTGATGTGCTTATCCAGTCGACTTATAAGCAAGGTCGTTTTATAGACGGCGATATACGGCATAAGCAGGACAAATTTGGGATTCAAACTCACAATCAGCAGATCAAGGCACGGCTAAGGGGTGCAACTCAGCACAGCAAACTGCATCTTCTTACACGACATGCTCCCTAAATTGCACTGGAATTGTTATATTTCACGTGAGAAAGAAGAAAAAGGCACCAAGTTTACCTATCTTTTGCCTGAATGTAACAATGTGTGGAAACAGGTTCTGAGTGAAGTCTGAGTTGAAAGTTGGCTAGTGATAAGATCTGAGGCCAAGTGAGCTGAGGTAATTGACTGATCAGTTCATCCCCCACTGATGGTGGTATAACTGTCGTTATTACCTGTATGCACCCACATCACTGATACACAGGTTCTAACAGACTCCCAACATACCTGAATGAATACATTTGGCTTTGCAATTAATCATGTCATGTAAGGAAATGCCACTTTTTTCTGATTTTCTGACTGTTTTGTTTTATTAGTGTGTCAATTAAACGGGGAAGTATAGGAGATAATGTCTCACTGCCAAATGTTATGCCTCCAGTAAACTACAACAACTTTCTTGATATACCATGAGTTAAGTGTAACAACTACAATACAGCCCACCAGCGGGGAAGCCTGAGAGTGTTAGCATTCGTCCAAGCTGTTGGGGGCACTATGTCACATACTGTAGGCAGCCACCCAATTGTGTATTGGCATATCTGCTTGTTAGTGAGTATCCCTAACACGGAAGAGCAAACACAACTAACAGAGCGACTATTGTGGGTTCCCTATAACACTG